AACGTTACTAGATCAACTCGCATTCACGAAATTGTCAATCGGTCAGAATCGTCAGATTGAAAATCAAATCAGAAAGACAAAGAAATCAAACTCGAAGAGAAAGAAAAAAAAGAGGATCGACCGACGAATCGATCGGAGAAGCAACAACGTCGTCCGGGTACAAGCTGGTGCGCGCGATCACGCGATTAATCTTCGTGCTGCGTGAATCGGCGGAAGTGCCACGTCCACTGGCAAGCAACCGACGTGCATTTTATATGAAGTGATTTGCATCGAACGCGACCGCGAAGTGTGGCCTATAAATTACCGCGCGTCCACGATAACCGCAATGTCGACGAAAGACAATAAACTCTCTTCAGCTTCTGTTTGTCCTTTTCTTCCTCTTTTTTTCTCTTCTCTCTCTCTCTCATTCGTTCTCTCGTCTTTTTCTTTATAGCCTCGCGACCACGATTTAATTGCCATTCCATGCACGAATTCCGGAGTCAGTCATCACATGACTGAACACGTTTCGTGTGCAGGTGAATTAACACGTGACCGTCCATTGACGTTTAGCGTGTCTTTGGACGATAATGCGTCGGAGAGGTCTTTCGTTCGCGTTATGCAAATCGTCACGTTCGTGTCGTTCCATCGTCCCTGTGAATTTCTTCTGTACTCACTTCAGTTTCTGCCCATCAATCGTCTCTCGTTGACAGAAATTATTATTTCTTGCGCACTTAACGAACGAATGACGTCGTGAATCTTTTTTGTATACGAACATTTCTTAGGTAGTGAGCTACTAAACTATCGTGTTTTATAGTTTCTATCGTTTTCTTGTCCAACTAGAGAGTTAAAAGCGTACAATGAAATTGTTTCTAATAAAGTCGTTCAATTCAGTTGACTAATCGTCTGGTAGTTTTATAAATAACAAGAACGAAGTTCCTCGATCAGCCAATTTCAATACGTTAGTCACCTGTTCGCTTTATATAAATCACCATACGTGTCATTCTATCTGTGAATTACTTCTGTACTTCTCCACCTCTGTTTCTTTCATTTTCTGTTGATTGATCGTTTCTCGCTGATGAAAATTATTTCTACGCATTTGACGAACAACGCAACGTCTTGGCTTTCGAATATTTTTTTAGAATACGAATATTCTTTTAGATAAATGAACTGTTCTAGTTTCTGTCTCGTTTTCTTTTAAGTAGAGAACTGAACGTACAGAAAGAAACTGTTTGTGACAAAGGTACGCAACTAATTGAGGATCAGTAGCTTTATAAATAACAAGACTGTGTTTTCTTTAACTAGGTCAGAGAATATGTTAATCACAGTGTCCGTTGCAGAGCCAAATTTCACGTAAGGGTCAAATTCATCTATTTCTACCAAATATACGGGTTATACGTATACCCATCTCTGAAATTTCGACTGAATTTAGTTCGAGAGACAAGCTAAATACATAGATAATGTTGATACGTGTTATTACACGATTCGTTTCTCGATAGTATTTTCACACAACTATAAAAATTTGATACAACGCTTCGTTGGAAAATACAGCACGTGCAAATGTCATATGTTTTATTTTGTAAACATCCGGAAGATGAAACTATTCAACAATTCCTTTTCTAATCACTATGGAAGAAATATTGTCACATCGAAAATCAAATAAATACCATATTAACACTTTCGTGACGGGCGATAGCCGGACAAAACTGTATAGCTGAATACGGAATATAATTTCCAAAAGTCTGTAGCTGAGTACGGCAAGATTCTGCTATTTGTAGGTACGTGAATGTAAGAAATATTACATCTCAGTATGATACTTGCGGTCGTTTGTTGTTCAAAGTTTTAGAAAATTAAACATCAAACAAATGCGTGTAGAAAAACTATTTTTCCTTTAGTAAAATAAATATGATAGAATTTACAGATACAAATGAAATTCACATCAACTTACAGTAACATTTGCACATGTTTATTTTGCAGAACAATTTGTGCGGTATTTGTTAACAACTTGATATATAAATGAAAACACAGTGACAATTTAACATTGTGGCTGCAAGTGGCGCCAATTTTGAAATACTCTGCTAAAGAATTTGAAATAACGTAGGCGTACGTTACGAGAGTGTTAAAAAAACACAGAATCACATCGAACTGAACAAGAAATTCACAAATTCGCAGTTCTCCTCAACGAAAAAATTATTTCCCTAGACGAAAAAAAAAAAAAAAAAGAAAAAGAGAAAGAAAAAATTGGTTTCAAGGTTGTAAAACCTCGTCGTTTCATTCGGAAGAACCTGCGAGTGTAAAAACTTGTTCGTGACGGCCAATCAACCACCCACGCGCGCCGAAGAACCGCGCCGTATCGCTCGATCGGAGAGAGGCAAAGCGCGCAGACGCGCGGCGCGTAAATTCAAAGGCGTTCTTCAGCGACCCGGCGACCTCCTCTCGGTTGGATGCGCGTTCCATCCTGCCGCTAATGAAGACGCATATACACGGCCGGTGACGTTGCGACGCAATAATGAAGATCTACGGGCGAAAGTAAAGACGCGGCGCGGCGCGGCCGACTGAAAAGGAGAAGACGACAGCAGTCAACGCGGAGAAATACGCGAGAGGAGGACTGGATTGAATGGCCAGGCGAGGTCGTGCCACTGTTTCTTTCATTAAAATCTTGCTCTAGCGTAGACGATCGATATTCGTCCGATATTTGTTCTCGGTAACGATTTGCTTTCAACTTTCTTGCTGTTGCGAGCGATTGTTCGGTGCTTATTCGCTGAAGATGTACAGTGATTGGTATTCGATGCAACATTTTGAAAGCACTACACTGCGGGTATCTACGTGTCCAAAATTTATGTCCCTACGAATGTAAAATTACGCAGACGTTTAAGGTGTTCTTGCAGTTGTGAATTTTTCAACAAGTTGGGTCACAAAAATCGGCAGTACCGTAATTTGGAAAGAGTATACATGTGTATGTACGAAAATTGCAAAATATTAATAAAAAGGCAATGCGTGTCAAATCAAATTTCGTCGAAATATCGAGATTTATTAACGAACTGATAACCGACAGAAATAACGAATCACTATGTGTTCGATTTTAAATCTGGAAATTACGTGTTCTTGCAGTTGTGAATTTTTCAATAAACTGTTTCGAAATCGACAGTCCGGGCTTTGAAATGAAAAATCACCAAATATTAACAAAAGCTTATGCGTATTATTACGTGTTAAATCGAATTACATCGAGATTTATTAATGAACCGATGATATTAATTATAGAAATATTAAAAAAGATTAATGCCACGATAACAAATGTCGAGTAGAAATATCAAGACTCGTTAATAAAATCGATTGATTTAAATACCTCGGTGACCTGCGTGCTAAAAATGTGCGCTCGTGCAAAAAGTATGAATGAAACTATAGAATGAATCATTCACGAAAGTTGTGTCAAATATTTTCGTGTACTGCGAAATATCTCCCCTTTTTTCTCTTGCCAGAGTCATGCTCGCATTGCGTTTAAGTAATAGCACACTCGAAGCTTTGATAGTTCCCGAAGAGTACCAACACTCGTACGAGAGAGTCGTAAAATTAATCGAGCGTGAAATGAACAAGAGTGTGAATTATAAACAAGTGAATTCGAGAGGTGTAAGGTTCTCAAACTTAGGCCAGGAACCGTGCGAGGAAAGTTCTAACACAGGCAGAAAGCACTCTTTATCGAGGAAAAAAACGAAAATTTCTACGGCGGGACGAAAATTTCATTTAAAAAGATCATTTTTATTTATTTATTTTATTTTAATAATTATTTGATTTGCGGAACATTTTTTATTATTACGTAACAAGTAAATAAAACTGTCAAAAATTACAGTCAAAGAAAGTGATTCATCGCTCGTTGACGAATAATTTTAATCGGCGACCAAATTTAATTAAAAAGTGAAAGGAACACAACGAGAGATTATTATTTCGCAGAAAACAGTTTCGTTTCTCTCACGGGGATTCCCGTCGCTCGCGCCGCCTTTCGCGTAGTTTTTTTTTGTTCTTTTTTTCTCTCGTGATTTCGAAGAACCGGCTAAAAGTACGAGAGCGCATGTTATTAACGTCTTCCTGGCGAGAAGAGTGTACGAGCAATTTCCAACCGGATAACACCGTAGCGAGAAGGTTAAATATTCTGGAGATTGGTGTGATTAACTGGGCAGAAAGGAGCGCGGCCGCGCTACCGGATTTAAAAGAAGTGGTTATTTATGAAACCCCTCTCTCGCGCAATTTCCGAGAGAACGAGGGGAATTAAGCGACTAAGTTAGTCGTTAAACTCAGATGGAGAAGCTGCTGTTATTGCCGCTGGCATTAGCAAACGCCGTGAAACGTCGTAAAACAATATCGACGATACGAATTGTAACGCCTACGAATTTTCTTAATCGTGTCATTTTTTTTTTTTTTTTTTTCTTTAATTATTTCAGAAAGGAAACACAACAACTGACGACTCGACTGTAAATTCGAAGAATTATTTTTCAAGCCATTACCTCTCAACTAGGATTTATGAAACGAAAATAACGCGCGACATTGTGTACTGTACGTAGGTAACAATTTTCCATCCGTGAATAATAATCCGGTGTTCGTTCATTTCCGTGATAATTCTTAACGCGTTACGCCACACCGTTTATGGAATTCTCACGACTACGCAAAGCCACGTTGGCAAAACATTACACAGGAGTTTCGCGAAACACTGGTATCCCAAGTGGTTACTCGAAACACGAACGTTGCGATTTTAATGTCAGATCCTAGCACGAGTTCAGGCAGTAAAGTGTTACGTGTTATAAAATCACGCGCAATTTGAACCGAGAGATTTACTGAGATAGGTCGAGGTGATCGGTGACTGGAAAGAAAGCAGCACGCTCTCTTCGATTCTCTCGCGATAAAATGAATAACAATGGCAAAAACTTTGGAGGAAAAAATTTTCACAGACTCCAGAAAGAGACTCTTCTCTGTGCTCTACTATAGCACAGAGCAGATAGAAATTTTCTTCCGTTATTGTCATTTTGACTCACCATAACGTAGTGGCGCTGCATCTCCGTCTTCTCCTGGGCGAGTTTCTCCAATTCTAATTTAATACTGGACAAAACAAGCAAGAAAACATTAGTAAATGTGTATGAAAGAAATAAAATCGCGTGTAAAAAAATGTGTACAAATGCCATAAGATTGTTTTTGGGATAACGACCGGATATTTGTACAGTGAAATATTTCAATCGTGAAAACTATTTATGGTATATTGAATAAATTATTAAATTAAATTGAATACAGCGAAGAGCACAACTGAACCGATAACGACGAAAAATTGTAGATAATTTAAATTGTAATTGTAACTTTGTAAAAAAAAAAAAAAAAATCTGCTTGGTCTCGTTTTAAAATTGAATTCGTTTTCCCTAAAGATGATTTTACCCTATCGAAAATTATAAAAATTCAAACGCCTCAAAAAAAAAACGAGAAAAAATTTTTGCAATCTACTGTACGAGAAATCTCATCTTTGCAATCTACTGTACGATTCCTTTCCTCCGCCATTTTATTGAACTCTGAACATCAGGATTAAACAAGGAAATGCTTGGATTCTTTCAATCTTTGGCGTTAAATCAAAGTTGGGATAAAACGCTGAAAAAGAAATTTGTGCAGTAAATTTTAAGGAGCCGACTCATTCTTCAAAACGGTGAATCTAATCAGGGAAAAGATTTTTTCAACGTTTCCAGAGATGTTTGAATTTTCGAGAAAGATTTTTTCAACGTTTCCAGAGATGTTTGAACTGACTATCCTCACTTTTACCATTATCCTCGTTTTACATCACGTAAAATCATTTTTTTTTTTTTTTTTTTAGAAAAAACGAACTGACCATCGTCAAATTGGAAATGCAAACAATTTTCCTTTAGAGCTGTAACGATTTCAATTATCGACCGCTCTTCGCCCTTATTGGTCCAATCGTGCTCTTCACCGATGCACGCATTATAAATCATTTGTTTCGTGAAAAAAATTGAATATATGAAAAACCTCCGTTTGCCTAATGAAATTAAGAAACCAATAAAACACGAGGTTGATTGAGTTTGACTTCTCAGAGGCTCGTATAATAAGACCAGAGAGGATACTGTCAAATGGATTTACACGCGTTGGTCGGACCATCGATGCGGATCGAGATACTCGACGTCAGTCTCCGTAACAAGTGGAGAACGTGATCGTGTGCGAAACAGGTTTGTAACGTCATTAATGTTCGCCAGATACATCAACGTGCAATTTTTTCACGCCTGTGCTCGTTCCTTTAATCTTCTTTCTCCTTTCTTTTTTTTCTTTTTCCTGTTTTATTTTCAAGTCCCGAGAGATCGATTTTCCGCTTTAGTCACGTTCCACGAGCGAAGATATTGCGGAACCAAGCCATTAAAAACACGCAATCAGTGCAACCGTAACAAACATCGATAACAGTTACACACTGTGGCCAATTGTAAAATATATACAGGGTGTTTCGTAACTTGTGGGAGCTGATTGTACGCCTAAAAATAATGAGAAAAAGTCATATAAATATATGTCCTGTCTGTCTTCGTTTATGAGATATCATGAATTTTATAAACAGAGCAAACTCTAGTAAGCTAGTTTTACCAGCGATGGTATACTCAATTTTCATAATAATCATAATTGGGATGAAGAAAAGCCACATGTTATTGTGCATTCAAGACATCAACACCAGTTTAGTTTAAACGTATGGGGAGGAAAAATTGATAAATTTTTAATTCGATCTTTTTTTCTTGATGGGAAACTAACTGGCACAAAGTACGTTGACTTTTTGAGCACGCGTTTACACGAAATATTAGAGGAAGTTCCAGTCGATATTAGACTTTCGTACGTGGTTTATGCATGATGGAGCTCTGCCGTATTTTAGCCGAGTGGCTAGGCAATTTTTAAATCAACACTTTGCAAATAAATGGATTGTAAGCATCGATTGTAAATGCTGAAATACTACGAAATAGAATAGAGCAAGACTTCCGACAAATTCGAGAAACACCAGGAACGATAGAGAGAGTAACCAGATGAATGACAAGACGCGTGCAGGCTTGTCTTCAAATGCAAGGTGGTCATTTTGAGCATTTTTTGTGAAAGTAATTAAAACGGAAAATTCATTATATCTCATAAAATGAAGACAGATATAGGACATATATTTATATGACTTTTTTTTCATTACTTTTAGACGTACAATCAGCTCCCGAAGTGGGAACCCACAAGTTACGAAAGACACCCTGTATATATATCACAGATTTTCTTGCCTTAGTGTGAAACGATCGAAATCGGGACTACCTTTTCTTGAATCGCGTAATCGGAAGCGGTGCAATTGCGTGAATATTTCATGGAATCGCTGGGAAGGAATTTATTTCGTTCGTGTAAATCGAATCCGGAGGAAATTATTGGCCCGTTGATACGTATCTACCGAGATTCGCTCGGAGTATTAACTCTCTGGTGCAGGTCTCCGAAACCCGAAAGTTTCGATCAAGTTGTTTAATGTTGTAAATAAATTATTTCGTTCGTGTTGTATCCTACATTTCCCGCGACGAAATCAATGATATTTGCAATTATGCGAGATGTAAGATGTGAATGGAACATTCTGAAATTATAAAACGTAACTCGATCGAACGAAGCGAAACAATTCAACTAGAATGGAAGTGAAACGCGTATGAATTATTGTTATCTAAATGATCTGCTCTTTCCGATTGGAAGAATTTTTTCCATGAACGGTACAAATTGCCTTTGAATATATGTACGTAAGTAGCTGTGCCTTGAGAATGCTTCATTATGGAAATATTAGTCATTTATCTGACAATCGATGATTGCTACCTGTGACTAGTAAAAGATTAATATGATAAATTCAACGATGTCGGCTTTTTGTTCGAATAATGAAATAATGGACACGGATTTCGCGTAACTGACCATCGACAACGCTGCTCCTGACTCAGAAACAACCTCGTATCATTGTGCTTTCGCTTTCTACATCAAATCATTCGTAACTTGGTTTTTATTTAATTTGAATAGTCCTCAATTTAAATTTCGAGATACATGCACAATCGCGAGACACAATTCTTTTCATTTAAAATTTCATTTTACATTTTATACATTTTCGTTTAAATTTCATCTAAAACACAATTCTTTTTTACGTTTGTACTTCTCGGTCAATTAATCGAACACTATTTCAGGCTAATCTACCACGCAATCTCAATGACTTTTAACATCAAACTCAAATTTAACTTTAACGAGTACTTAAAATTGCGAAAGAAATCCAAAATATTTGGTACGAATAAAGTTTTGCGCATGGCAAATCAAGAGTGCGTTTATTTACATTACTAGTTACATAATTACAAATATTCTTGTACGAACTGATCATCAAAAGGGTTAAAGAAATCGCAAAAAAATTCGAAATATCTGAAAGGTAACCCCTCCAAACATTTTCTACTTCTCGTTCGTTTCATGGAATGCAGAATACACAGTTTGTTACAAAATCTTTTCTCTTCACATTATGATCAAAACTAAAAAAAAAAAAAAAAGGAGGGAAGGGGGGCACAACGTGACAAGAGAAACTCGAGCGGATAAAACATTGAATTGCCAATCAAAAACAAGCTGGAGCCCATAAGCGCGGTCACGAGGGGGACAGGGCTCGCGGACGTTGATTTTTCATCGACGAGGAGGAGGGGTTAGAATCGATCTTTATCGGCGCGCGGCAGGGGCGTTATTGCTCTCGGCGAAAATAATAGGGCGTTAAATGGAAAATTAATTTCCATTGATCCGCTCGGTGTAACAATACGTCGCGGAACGACGCGACCAACCGCATATAAGGTCTCTTTTATGGCGGAAGTAATTTTTTAACGGCAACAGGACCGCGTCATATTTTTGTTTACCGGCCTGACAGCGAAATAGACCTGCCTCTGGTCCGGGTCCCTGCGAAATTGCACCCCTCCCCCGCCGTTGCGTATAATAAATATGTGCTCGTAATAGTTGAGTGCGCCGCGTAACACCGTATGCAAAAACCTTGCAGTAAACGTGTTGGCGTGTATACAGGGTGTGTCTCGCGCAACCGTTGAAAACACGGTGGATCAAAATTTAATGATTTCAGACCGCCGCGAGTTTCCCATTCTCGAAAAAAAAAAGATTTTAATCTTCTTTTTCTTTTTTTTTCTTAAACGGAATTGTATCTTTTACGAATCAACGTTCGCTTTTTCAACTGATTGATTTGAAGGGTATACGTTGAACTCTGATTTTGTAAAATTGGTCGTAAACTATAACGATTGAAAAATTTGCGAAATATTTTCAATTGATCATCCAAATTACGAGCCTCGATTTTTCTTCACCGAGAAATTTTTCTTGATTCTTCCATTTCCGAATTTTCCACCGAACTAGATCAAACAAATTCGTAATTTCTCACACGCAATTTATGTAAATTCACAACGACGCATTTTTGATTCGTCATAAAATATATAAATAAAAGCTTGCATTCCCTAATGTGTCATAAATATTTCCCAATTTTTCCTTCGTCCTACCATTAACCTCTTATCTTATCTATAATGTCGAGACGCGCTCGTAATTTTACAATTATGGTCTCGATTTAGAAGAAAAAGGCAATCACGTGAAATGTTCGCGAAAATTCAAAGTTTGAATTTAATTTCTTGAGACTGAACATCATTACGTTTTACATCAAAGAACAGTGGGAAAAGGAATTGGGTTAAAATTGGGCAATAGTTGGGCAATAGTTGAAAATTGTAATCCAGTCGCGAGAAACACCCTGTATACGCGTACGAGGCGTACGCCAGCCGCGTTTATGCGGTTTCCACCAGTGTTCCTGAGCATTTTACCAACGGCCAGCAACACAGCTCGGACATCGAGATAATTCTTCTCGGTTTTCCCCGGCGTTATAGCGCCAATTACACAAGAATTATGTTTTACGATATTTTTCTTCGCGTACGTTGCAGCTTATGTAGGGATCCGTGCACAGTGCACGCCGAGGGAGCGACACGGTTCGCCGTTGTCGCGAATGGAAAGTGCCGTATTATCATTTAACGAGCGGCATTATGTCGCATTAAAAAGGGGAAACCCGG